ATAAAAGTAGAGAAACTGAGAATAAATCTCTCCTATACCAGGACGCCATGCCTATCACTCTTCGTATCTCTTGTACATTGGTAGTAGGTAAGATCTTCAAGATGGCACTGACCTTATCGGGTTCGACATGCAGACCATTACGATCAACGACATACCCCAAATATTTTAATTCCGGGCGGCAGAACTTACATTTTTCCTTAGAAACCATAGGGTTGACCGCTCCCAGCCTCTTCATCTAATACTTCCAGGTGTTTCTCAAACGTGGAAGTCACAATAATTATATCGTCAAGATATACCAGTACGTACTCCTCCAGATCGGCCCCCAGAACTTGGTTTATTAGACGTTGCCATGTTGCGGGTGCGTTGGATAATCCCATAGGTAGACTTCGATATTGTACCGGGAATGGTGAAAGCTCTTAATGGTTTTGAAGCCTCTGAAAGGGGCACCTAGAAATATGCAGACTTGATATCCATCGTGGACAAGTACCGAGCATTTTTAAGCTGGTCCAACGTAGCGGAAATGAACGGTAGAGGGTACGAATCCTTTTGGGTAACCATATTCAATTTTCGGAAGTCCGTTACAAATCGCCATGTAACTCCATCCGATTTCTTCACAAGAAGAATTGGAGCTGCCCAAAGACTGGAACTCGGTTCAACTATACCTTCTTTCAAAATTGAAGAAGTAGTCCATGACTCCAAGTGGAGTTGAAATTTAAATTTCAAAGAAAAGACTTGGTGTTTTTCTTCTTTCAAAAGTTTGTCAAGCTCCGCATGTATATGCTTCTGCATAATCGGCGAGACCGGGTAGTAGCGCTGTTTTATTGGTGGAGATGACGTATCTATATGGTGCTCTACCAAGGTAGTACAACCGAGACGGTCGCCCATTTTTGCAAAACATTGCTTGACCAAATCCTCCAATTACTTATTTTGCTCGGGAGTTAATTCTGATTTTGAGCTTAAATTGTCTGAACCCAAGCTGATAGAAGTGATGGTTGTTTCAGTGGAAAATTTCCAATCGCCATGCCTCAAGTCAGGCACCATTCCCATCCGTCTCCAGAAATCTACACCGAGTATCAAGGTATGCTGCAATGTTGGTATTATTAGGAGTTGATGAACTTTTACTCGATCCTCCACTGCGATTAGCACAGACATAGATCCTATACTTAGATACTTATTACCATCCGCAACGGTACAAGATATTTGATGTTCTTCATTCAGGGACAAATTTAGAGTTTTTAAAATACACTGCCGAGTTTTTGCAATTATTTTTAAAATTTTTGGTTTTTGCGAATTGTTTTTTTTTTTTGGTGTAAAGTTCATTAACTTTATGTGATGATTTTGTCCTAGTTGCGTGAATTTAAAAAAGTTCTTGTTGTTTTGCCCCAAGTTTTGCTTGCAAATTATGGGATGACCCTAATTTTATGCTCGGCAGTGTAGAACATCCAGGCCCACCAGCGATACTTGATGACGCGCCACTATCCAGGAGACCATGTAACTCTAAGCCCAAAATATTTACACAAAGGTAAGGTCTTTCATCTCCTTCAGCATGGAAGAGGATGAAATCCAGGACGGCTTTTTGTTTATGTGTTAAAATCCTATTGGGGATGACCGTGGGATCACGAGACACTTCACGGCCCTCTAATGTCTCGGCACTCTAATCTCTCGGCATAGCGTTTCCCGAACTGTGAGAGCGTTTAGGACAATTCCGAACTGTATAATTTGCAGTGCCACATCGGAAGCAATATTTAGTTTTGGGCTTACTGCACTCCGAAGCTCGATGGCCACCAGCCCTGCAATTCCAACACGAGATCTCATCAATAACCACATCACCCACTGCACTGGTAGAAGCACTGCTTTCTGTATAAATATAAGCTAAATCAGGTTCCATTAGTTTCTAATTTCTATGCGGGGGAGGAGCAAATTCCTCAATTGACTGTTTGCTTTCATCTCTCTGCCTTCCTAGATCAATAAGGTGTTGAATAGACTTAACTGTGATTAATCTCAGTTGACTTTGATAAAATGGTGAAATATTTTTCATCAAAATCTTGAGTACCAGAGCATCTGCTACTAGACAAGTTAACCGTTTGAACATGTTGATCATTGTGGCCACATAGATACCCATCGATTCCTTAGGTCCTTGAGTTCGCTGTTTAATCTCATCAAACAATCGATCGTAATAGTAACTTGGCAAAAAATGTCTGCGTAATTCATGAACCAGTTGTTTCCAGGTTCCAATGTTATCTTTATTAGCAATATACCAAATCTTCGCTTGCCCTACGAAAAGATCAGCAGCGGATGCACACAATTGTGGCTTTGTAACATTCCGAGAAATAATCATTTCTGCCACAGTCTCGAGGAAGCTATTTAGGGACATTGATTCGCCATCGTATTTTAAATTTCATTGGTAAACTGGTACGAACTTTGGTCTATTGTTTTGAGAACTTTGTGGCATAGCCGATGCGGTTGCGACATTATTCTCCGTCTCAGAATCCTCAGAACTTTCCTCGGATGAAGAGGTGCTTTGGTCGTCCTCATCATCCAGCCCGGTTGATGACAGCAGATTCACGACATCTAAAGGACTATGGGCTAGAGAGAGTTTTTTAAATTTTCTCGCTTTCTGTTGGAGTGTGGAATATAGAGATAGAACTTAAACAACCGCTTCTGAGCGTTAACAAATCTTCTCGTCGCCCTTCGGTACACTACGGCTCGGCCGTAGGCATGCCATAATTTCGTAGAAATCTTCATAAAATTTCCACTCTCCGCTGATTCGCAAAATTCACCAACAAGATTTTCGAGCTCTGAAATCTTTCCAGTTATTTCTTTATAATCATCATCAAACTCAAATGGATACTTCGGATACTTTAAGGCGGCTCCCCTTTGTTCCAATTTTATTAATTGTCTTAGCCGATTTATCTTCATATTCATGGCCATTTTTTTTTTTTTTTGTCAATACGCAAATCAAATTAAAATCACAATAAAACTTTAAGGAAATTACTTAGATCGCCACGTTAAACAATTCGAAACAAATTTAATACGAATCAGGAGTAACATTCATTTACCTGAAGCAGAAATATTCACGTCTATAAACAACACAACAAAATTGTCTCCAAAATGCACCCATTTATTATCCAATAACTGCCAAAATCAAGGGAGGCCCCTGCCAAACTTATTGAGTGCAAATCACCAGAGTATAAATAAGCTAGAGCAATTCCAAAATCAAATCAAGAAAGGGAAAGAGAAAGGGAAGAAAAAAATTCCCCAACCCAGAGAAATTTCCTTTAAATGGCAATCTCGCAAAGCAATGAAAAACTTCGAAAATGGGCCCCACGTTGGGCGCCAAAATTTGCCACGCAATTTCTGCCCTAAAACGGTTCCAGCAGTTTAGAAGGAAAGGTAAGGTAAGGTGGACAACGGAATGCTAGGCTAGCGCAGCTTGGGAATGGTCGTGCGGTTCAAACTCAAACTCACAGGAATAAAAATATGGGTGCCAATTCCCAATGTAGATTGATTACCGGTTACAAGAAATCACCAAAAGTTACCATTCGCATAGCTGATCGAATATAGCGGGTTGCCAAAATGAAAGAAAAAAAAAAGATAATTAATTTCCCAAAAATATTTAATCAGTATGAGCACGTTTTAACAACAAATGCAACAAAACTCCTCTTAATCCTTGAGAATACTATGCGAAATTTGAATTAATGAAATTGTAAAATACTTACACACGATTCCGTGTGGCCAAACTCAGGAAAAATACCTGGATTTCTCAGTTTTGAGCAGTTTTGGACACCGTGCATGGAGCACTCTGGGCGGAGATCAAAAAGGCGACAACCCAAAAATCCAGCTGGTTTTAACAGCCGCAGCAAATCGGCACCAGAACGTCAATAGAACAAAACGCACCACCGACTCGCTGTTGAACCACCACGGACAATTTATCCCTTTCAATAAGGCTTGGACAAAATATTTGCAAACGTAACTATGATGGCGTGGTTCTCTGCCGAATTTTCGAGAGTGATGACCACTTCCTGATCTGGTCGGTTCCCCTCCAGTGGAGAGGGAAACGGGGAATTTTTTAATACGCACCCAGCGGGAAAACCCAACTTTTCCGCGATGTCACCCACAAAATACTCGACTCTTTACTGAATACCTCAAAACAAATCATCCGACAGGAATCTCATAGCCTCATAAAGTGTTTATTTAAAAATTGAAAAATATTTAAAGAAATACGAAAATTCGACAGTAGGGAACAGGAACCCATTCCTCGGTGGTACTCCCAAACTAGTCGATGGCCGGATCATGCGTAGCGGAACCTACCAAACCCATCAGGCCGAAATATTCTTATCTATAAGGTCTATAATACAAAAATTATTACTCGATTGTTGCAAATTAATAAATCACCAACCTATGGATTATTGTCAAAATTCTTAAAACTAACAAAAATTAACAAGGACAATTTTAACACGTTACAATGTGTCTAGTAGGTCTGTATATACAAATTGAACTCAACTTTGGCTTCTCCTGTGTTAAATTGAACCAACTCTCAGTTATTTTCCTAAGATTTCTTGGATAATCGTTAATTGTAGATCTTCTGTATTATCATTATTACTACACCCGGCCTATCGTTCCAGTTATAGAGCGGCCGAATCCATTTCTCAAGCTGCTCCCGCAGGAATAACTCGCAACAAACGATCTTTGGCGGCTCGTTTAACCGAGATCGAGTTTTCGCTTGATGAGAAAGCATCGGCGTTTCTGACTTTTTGCCAACTGGTGCTCCGATCTCGTTAGAGTTAATTTCTCTCTTTTAATTTAGAGGATCGGAATTCTGGAATTGTGCCTGAGGGAGCTTAGGGGGAGATCAACTCAATTTTTATACAGTCGTATGGAGCGGATTTTAATGTAACATTTTTTGACTTGATAGGATTTACATATAACTATCTCAATTTATCTCAACGACTCCTAATTTGATGTCGATAGTTTCTCTTATTATATCGAAATTAACTTACCACTCAAATTTGTAGGTAACACCACCGCTTTTCCCATTTCACCGGGCAGTTCTTGCGGTGGTGCCAGCACATCAACCTCGTTTCTCACCGGTCTTACTCTAGCAGTAGTTGTTTCGTCCATTTTGAATGGCATCACTGGACCAGCTTCATCGTCAGCGAGGTCTTGGTTACGTTTTATCACCGGTTCGCGTCCATCGCCAATCTGAAATATTATTGAGGTATTTAGTAGATTTTCTGGGAAGTATTTGGATTCGCTTACCTCGTTTCGGTCCAAATGCCTTTGCTCCTGCTGCAAGGGTTCAGCTATTGGACGATCGACCGAACCGGAACCCCGGAACACCAACATGGCGACGGTGAACCATGCTGTAGCCACGACCACGATCAACTTCAGCAGGAGATTTCTGAAAGAAAAAATTGAGTATAAAATACGTTTGTAATAGGCAAAAAATTTTTACATAAATTCAAAGGTTCATGATTATCTTTTACAGTTTTCAAAAATAACAATGGAATCTATAAATCTAATATTATAACATACAAATTGGCGATGTCTCACTCATATCAGTGCTATAGGATTTGCATAAATTCAAGAGGCAATTGAAATGGTTATTTATAGATTATCAAAAGTCTGGTTTTGAAATTCCTCTTGAAATTTATACAATTTTGCAGTGAATTTGAGTCAAAATCAAGTTGTCAGGATTGGAGCCTTTCTCCAGTAATCTCGACATTTTCAATACTATTTCTGTAATATTTGTTCAAAGTAGATTTTGAGAGCCAGTTAGGACTGGTGGCCATGTAGTTGATTGCAGACTATCCCTGACTGTTGTTCTGGCGCCAGGGGGTGTGTCGGGATGGTGTCTTGTTCTGAAGATAACCGACCAACTAAAACCCTGTCCCCTCTAGAGTCTAGCCAACCATTTGGAACTGCGATAGCATTACTTCAAATGATGGCGAGTGTTGTTTCATGTGTCTTCGAATTCCGGTTTAAAGTTGCCTTCATCGTCTGTTTTTTCCTTCATTATTTTTCTAGTCAAGGTCTTGACGACGTTCCAGTTCTGGGCCCTATCTTGTTCGTGCAGGCTTCATGGTGCTCTAGCCAGTTCTTGAAATGGAAGAAAGTATGTTGCACCGTGTCGGCCTCACCGCAGTATACACACTCGTTGTCTGGCGTTCTATTTATTTGATGCGTGTATGCACGGAAACACCGGTGGCCTGTTAGAAGCTGAGTCAGGTAGTGGTCCGTTTCGCTGTGCTTTCTGTTTGTCCAGGTGGATATGGTCGGGATCAGTCTATACGTCCATCTGCCCTGTGTGCTGTTTTGCCATCTGATTTGCCATTCCGCCATGGTCTTTCCTTGGCTTCCGATCGGGTGGCGTTTTTTAGCGGCATTGGCGCCTCTGCTGTTTTCGTGGCTGGCTTGTCTGGTAAGGAGGTCCATGAGGGGGTCTCCGCAATCACTAGGATGGCGTCTGTTGAGCTCCTAGTCGTTGTTTCCTGGAGTGAATATTTCGATACTTTTCGATATTCATGATATGGTCCCAGACAGGAACAGCGTACAATAGTATGGACCTCGCCTCTGTTTGCTGGGTGCTGATCTTTCTATGTTGGGCATTAGCCGCGCTAGGGCGGACATGGCGTTACTAGCTCTCGTGGCCGCGTTCTTTATATGGCGGGCAAAGGAAAGCTTGTTGTCCAACCAGACTCTTAAGTATTTGACTTCGGGCTTTGACGTAATGCTTTGCCAATAATGTTGAGGTCTCTGTAGGGGACGAATCTCTTTGAGGTTAGGATAATTGCCTGCGTTTTCTCTTCGCATAGCTCGAGGTGGTTTTCTTGGAGCCAACGCCTGACGCCACTCGTTGCCGCTCCTAATGTCTGCCCAGCGACTCTATGTCTACGGGGCAACTGTAAGGGGAATGCAGTTGTAAAAAAAAATGGCTGATTTCATTCACAAAATACCCAGCTGCGTGCGGAACTTTTTGGAAGTGTTATCGTATTGCAACTCGTACACGAAAATCGATAATGACCAAACCGCCGCCACTGGATATTTCAGTATGAATCGATATTCCAAGTTGGGAGGATAAAATGACAAGAGCCCTGGCCAATAGCGATACGTAAGGTGACGTTAGTACACTGACAATTGCATGGTTCCATGTGGCAACGGTGTTGCTGCCAAAAACTCCACCAATCAGGTTCATCCAGGCCGGATCCGTGCCAAATTGTCAAAAACTGATGGATTCATTAAATGTTTATTTTTTACAATAGATAAAATTAAAGAAATCAGTTATTTAAATAAACATAGATCTAACAATCATGTTGAAATATTCAGCGTTTTATTGTTATCTACATTTTCTTATTAAAAAAATGGATTTTCAAATGAACTATACTTCATGCTAGTATTTTCGCTTTTTTATAACTAAACGTGGCAACATCGCACATTCACGTCCGAATTCCTTCCGTAGACTCAGAACCGCTGGGCACCCGCTGGGCAAACAATATCTTGATTTCTGCCTCGTCTATGTCTAGCCAGGACGACTATGACAACGTCATCTGCGTATCCGATCAAGGAAACCTCCTCTGGTTGTTTAAATTGAGAAGGGTGTCGTACATGTTCGATCCAGAGGGTGGGTCCTAGGACCGAACCTGGTGGGGCGCCGCAGGACATGTCAAACATCTCCTCGCGGCTTTTTGCCTCAAGGACTATGGCTCTGTCAATGAAATAGTCTTGGATGAAATTGACCAGGTATCGCGCTGCGCCTCTTCTTTTCAGCTCCGCCACGATCACTTGCCAAGGTGCCGGGTTAAAGGCGTTTTTGATGTCCAGGATGACCATCATGCCGATGCGCATGTGTCTGTGGCTCCTTTTGTAAATTTCTGGCCTGATCTTGTCCAGCGCATTCAGGATTGCCGCGCAGCTGGATATTTCTTTCCTGAACTCGAACTGTTTTTCACTCAGTGTGGTGGCGAGGTTGAGGTCAGTATTTAGTCTCGCGAGGATGACGTGCTCAAGAAGCCTTCCACATGAGTTGAGCGGGCATAGGAGGCGGAGTTTTTGGGTGTCGTTTGCAGATTTTTTGGGCTCCTCCATCAGCACTAAGCTAGCTGCTTTCCAGTTTCATAAAAACAGGCCGGTTTTCAGAGGGTTTTGAGAAAGACTTGTGGTTCCTTCTCAGCTAGAAGTTTCAGGATGTCTGCGGGTATGCCATCTATGCCTGAAGCTTTGTTGGGTTTCAGCCTGTGACATGCGTCTGTTATTTCGTTTACAGTTAGTTCAGGAATATCTGTTCTACTTCACTTCAGCTTTTCCCAAGCAGCTGGTGGTCTGGAGGGGAATAAGAGTTTCGCTGCTTCTAGGGATTTTGCCATCGTCAGTGCCCTGTTTTCAGACATTACCATAAGCCTCCTTGTCGCTATTCTAGAGCCGTCGCCCCAGCAGTCGTCGTTGATGTCGTCGCAGAGTCTTCTCCAGCAGTTCCTTTTTGCCTTGTTGATAGCCAATTTCAGTTTTTCCCTGTGACTATTGTAGGTTTTCTTGTCTGACAGTATTCTCGTGAAGTCTCTGCGGTGGTTCCCAGTGAGTTTCCTCTTCAGGGTAAGGCACGTTTTCCTGAGCTGCTTGGCGATGTCGTCGTTCCACCAATATGCGGGCTTCTTGTGGTTAGGGTTAGGTCTCTTTTTGGGCATTGACGCGTTGTATATTTCTTTCACTAGTGCGTCGAGACTTACGGGAGTCTCCGGGGGGGGAGGGGGATTCAGTGCCGCCACGGCAACCGCTTCGTTCAGCGGGTTGTTCAAATTTTTGATGTTCCATCTGTGCCTGGATACGATATTTTACGTTGTGCTTCTCCCGTTTTTGTCGCGCAATAAGCTTTTCTTAGCTTCGACTTCCTTTTGCCTTCTAAACTCTTCGAGTTCAGTAAAAAGTGAGCGTAGAAAATCAAGTTCCGCTGCGTCGGGCGGATTCAGGCTTGTTGCGGCGAGCGGGACTTCAGGCTCGTTAAAATCGGATTCTGATACGGCCGCAGGAATGGGGCCTTGACTTAGAATCATATCCAACTCATCTAGAGTGGCGCCGTATAGGTCTGGACTGTATCTGTCCGTCATTTTTGTCCATTGTCTGGAGTCGGTTTGGGATGCCAGTTGTTTTTGGGGTGAAACAACAACCCCTTTTTGTTTCCTACGGCTGTTTGTACAACTTCTCAGTTTAACTGAGAGGAGGTCCCGCCAAAACCACCCCACTGGTTCTTCAAGGAATGAGCTTGCGAATCAGCAGCCTCCAGAAAAAGGAAGTGAGAATTGACGTTTTTGTATTGTATGGGAGCAGGGCTCCAACTCGATTTTTTGAAGTCCGAGGGGCCAAAGTTGTATTAACACGGTGTCTAGAAACTTTTGTTTGCAACGACAGTACGTTGAACTCAGATGGCACTCTGAGGAAACCTTCGAGCGGCTTCGAGAAGTTAAGTGACAAATAAAAACACGGGGGAACAAAAACGGTGCACCAGGTCCGAAAATCAGTCTAACCTTTGAAGGTTCGTGTGTTTTTGTCAAAGTCTCGTCCGTACTGTAGTGAAAAAGAGGTTTTTTCCTAAACACCCTCCATAAAATTCAAGCTAGAGGTAGTTTCGACTTTTATCTTCTTATAAAACTCTGTTCTAACTCGCCGACATTCTTGCCTTTGTCTTTGTTTTAAAATTGAGATTTTTCCGTAAAAAATTTCAAGAAAAATTCAAGCTGGGGTAGTTTCGACTTTTGTCTTCTTATAAAACTCTGTCAAAACTCGACGAAGCTAATCTTGCTTTAAGTTAAATTGAAATTGAGATTTTTTCTAAAAAAGCCTCAAGAAAAAGTCAAGCTTGGATAATTTAGACTTTCTAGTCTTTTTACAAATTCTGTCCCAACTTGGTGAGCCTTTGGAGGAAGAAAATGATTATTTGATTTTTGAGTTTCAATACGACGTGGAGCTTGCAGAAGAGATGAGAATTTTCAAAAAAATTCACGAAAATCGTCGAGGACGGACACGGGGGGTCGGGAACCTTTGAAATAGGTTTCCAAAAGTATAAGTGACAAAAGCGGACGAGGAGTCTAGATTTCCTAGACGGAAAGCTGCACGAATGTGCCGAATTGGAAACGCGGGGCTCAGTTAAGAACCAGAAATGAAACGATTTTTTCTTTTTCTTCCAGACAGTTGCCCTGAAAAGGACTTTGTCGGGTATTGATGGCAAACTAATGCGAAGTACTCCCCCAGGACATCAACCTTTAGTGCAAGGATTAATGCGGGTTTCCTTGCGACGAACTGGGCTTTTCCGGAAGCCTTATTTCGCGCCTGAGGGGTTGTAACGTTGGCTCTCTCTTTTCTATCTTCGTACCTATGAAGTAGCTCGCACCAACAACGCTCTGAGAGGTT